CAAACATCTTTTGAACTTTCATTTTCAGTCATTCCTCTTTTTAATTTAGTTCTTCATGTTTCAGGCTAGGCTGTGTCCCAAACCACTCCAAAAATGGGCCAGGATCAATTTTAAACTGGGTTAAGGGCCATTTTGTGGCCCAAGAAAAGGTGTCAACACAGGCCCAGTTTTTGTCAAACACAAACTTGCACAAAATGCAACCCTGGCCCTGGCTTGAGTCAGTTGAGTGGTCACACCCTTCAGCTTTTATAAAGAGTTTAACCCCTCACTTGATTCCAAATCCTAACAAGATGACTAAGTGCACATCAAGGCATATAATCTTACCACCTCAAGGTGAAATTTAAAAAACTAAATGGCACCAAACACAAATACATGTTCGTGAAAGGATGAATTCACAAAATCATCATAAATAACCAGTGATATCCTCAAGAAGAACTTCAACAGAAGCAACTAGCACAAAGATTTGCAGTAAGCTCCTAGAGTATCAAACTAGACCTCTGAAAATAAATTCAATGGTCCCAAATTTTCTTATGTAAAGGAGAAACAAAGCTGGCTATGACTTGCTAATTCCTGCAATGTGATCGGTTATGAAGAATTAATTATGTCTTTCACACCCCATAATGTAAACTGTGAAAAAACAAGATCAAAATAGAGCGCCAAAACTATTTAAGGGATTAAATGGATGCTTTCAGTCAAAAAATAGCGACAAAAAGGAAATGGATTTTTCCAACATTGGATTATGAAAATTGAACTGCTAATTACAAAGTAAAGTGACAAGCGAGAGTTAAAAAAAATCCATATACACAACAACTATAACAACGGAACAGATAAATAAGAGCTCTAAAGACCACGGCATAAGGCATTACGCACGCCCATTTGCTATGCAACACAGTGTTTCCTGGGAATTCAAAGTATAGAAAAATCATAGAAGAGGAGTCAGCATTGTCATTTGGCTACTTAATCAACAATCTATAAATAACAAAGTATTTCATAAGATATTCCCTGGAACTGAAATTGTCAAAAAGGGAAATACACTGCCTACCAAGATATATTTTCTCAATGCAACCTTGCATCAGAGATTATCTAAAGAAAGTAACTACACCAAACTCTCATGGATTTACATTAAAAACCAAATGCTAATGAAGCATTACCTGAAGCAGAAGAATAACTATAAGATACCTCCTGCTCGCAGGCAGATGAACTTGATTGGTAACTCCTCTGTGGTGAAGTCGTATGATTACCACTTCTCAGGGTAGCCTCATCTCCCACACTATAACCTGTGCCATAAGAAGATGGTCCAGAATTAAAGGTAGAACCATGCAAATGATTTACTTGTTTCAGTGGATCCATCATGCCAGCTGGAAACTGATGGTTAGTAAGTTGTTGAATTGATGGCTGGCTGACATCACGAGGACCGACTGCTTGCTGATAGTGATCATGATAACCATAATTCCGGTCATCTACTCTACCGACTGGCATAAACTGTGATTGGACATGATGATTCTCTGTCCCAGACTGAGTAGCTGCCCATGCTTTGGCCCTGGCAGCCCAATCTTCCTCATTGCTATATGGAATATTCCTATCTGTCAGAGTACAGATCAAGAAATAATCATCAGTGAACTGTATCTTAATACCATCACAGAAGGCAGCCAGCTAGGATGAAGATTTAAAAAAAAACTGCATTATACTTTGATATTATAGCCTACATTTCTCGATCTTTCTGTCATCCCTAGATCTTCCAATATTTTTGTAAACCATGTGGTTTTATGTAGAGCAGCATACAAACCCCCAAAGAAATGTTTAAATATGTTTATGTTTCGAGAAAAAAAAAATAACAATAGAACTTTAGGGGAGAATTCTATCATTTTTGTAGTTTCTTAGACATGGTTATCAACACAGGCAGATCTGAACTATATTGTAATAAAAATGTTATTTTATATCCACCTCTTGCAAATATGGAACCAACCAAGAATACTTACCTTAATTTATACATTCATAGGCCAATATATGCCACCAACCTATGATTACATTACATTCACTTTCACATTCATATACCACATCATGAAAAAATCCTAGTCTAAGAAAAAGCTAATATGAATGATTACTTACTAGTTGTTTTTTTTAGTTATTTCAATTTCTTTGATATAAGTTCCTAAAATAAGCATGATACATATTTGTCCCCGCATTAATTATTACTTGGATAATTCTCCCCACAATATGGAGTCCACATGTTGTAAGGCCTTTGATTAATTGTTATCTTTAGATCCAGAATTTATCATGTCCATATGGATTTCTAAACATATTCATGTCTTCTATATCCACCCAGTTTAAAGAACACTAGGCAGCTCTAAGCATCTAGAGCTGCTCAGCCACCTACAACTGCCTAGGTAGCTGCCGAAGTACACCAAGTGCTGGATGCTTGAGCTACCACCAATGTACCTGCCTAGGCCAAATTTTACAACATAAATACAAATTTACGTCTTGGCAAAGAAATATTCAATAAGGGAATAAAGGAAAGATCCATACATTCAATCCATTGTTAATAGACCCCTTCGAATCTGAATTATTCCATAATGTTTGTATGGATTTCTAAATTTTCAACTCACCTTTTACATCCACACTGTGTTTTAAAAATGCTGACCCTGTCTAGGTATCGGAAAAAGGCTAGAAAGCTGCCAACGTGAATTGAGGGTTGGACACTTAAGCTACCACCAGGTGCCTTCCTAAGACAAGTTTTACGACACCAAAATCCAGTTCATGTATAAAACAAATGCCTATCATCTTTCTGGTAAGGAAAGAAAGAATCTGCCCAGTCAACAAACTGGTTAATAACCCTCTTAGATCTGGAACATACCACAATTCTTGCATGGATTTCAAGACCTTCTACCTCATCTTCTACACCTACCCAGTGCTCTGGAAAAAAAACAAGAGATGCCTAGGTATATGTCAAAGTGCACCAAATTCTTCCTAGGTGATTACCCAAGATGAACTTTACAACAGCGAAATCAAGTTCTTCTATTAACCAAAGTGCATGCTCTCACGCGATCAGGCTACAAAGCGTGTCTTGTTAGCCAAGCATAGGAGTTGATATGAAGATTATATATCCTTGATTTTGTATTCCTTTTATGAGTACTTTGTTTCTAGGTTCCTGATATCTGGATGTGTTTCCACGCAAGGCTAAGACTATATTCATTTATGCAAGGCTATTTATGAACCTAAGCAACCACCTAGAACCTAAGTCTCTAAATGCTAAGTTTCTTCTCTTTGGTTTGATATGCATAAAAAAGCTTCACCTATGTGCACCTGCATGTGCTGCCAAGGATGCTGCGCAGGGGAGAGCTGCATTAGGATACTTACAGTGTGTTTGGATGGGGGTTAGAGGATAGAAGGGAATGTGAAATTTTATAAAACTTTTGTTTGGGATTTTTTTTTCTTGAGGTGTTAAAAGATGGAAGGGAATCTGAA